GGACATGCTTCTTACCCTTGAGGAATTTTACTTTAGCAAAGGAAATAAATCTACCTAAAATAGCTTTTATACAAGGGAGAAAATTGCCATGGAAGGGAAACCAATTAATACACTCAAGACTTAGAAGTGAATTGATAACTTTATTGCAAAAGATACTCATAAATGAGTGATGATAAAATTGAGTGTTTTACCTCTCCCCCCTCCCCTTTCCCACAGTGTGGCTCTGTTGGTTGGAACATCATCCTCTACACCAAAAGGTGGCGGGTTTGATTCCTAGTCAGTACACATACCCAGGTTTGTAGGTTCAATCCCCAGTCAAGTTACATGCAGGAGGAAATCAATCAATGTTTCTCTCTTACATCAATGTTTCTTTCTCTCTCTCCCTTTCTCTAAAATCAATAAAAAGATAAAATTTTAAAAAATTAAGTGTCCTTATTATAAGACTATTAAATATGGACTGAGTTGTGTGTGGGCTCTCATGAGAAACGTAAGATATTACAGTATTCCTTGATTTATATAATTGTTTCTATTAGATATGCTTTAATAATTCTATGCTAATAATTTAGCCATACTTATCAAATATTTACTGTGGTTTAAAAAACTTTTCCCTGATCTGTAAAAACAAAGGTTTCTAAACCATTCTCTCAGAGGGAGTTAGAAGGAAGAGTAAGTCAAGATATCACTTGCTTCTACAGGAGGAGGTTTGCCTCATCACTACTTTTTCAAATTCTTACTATCTCTGCTTATTTAGGAACATGTCCAGCATGAGCATGCTATTCAAGACCCTTCCCGACATGCCTGCCTGCATCTACCACTTTAGTCTCCTGTCACTCTGGGCTTACACCATATATTCTTGGCAAAATGAATTACCTGAGATTTCCATACATGGCATGACTTTGGACCATGCAGTCCTACCCCAATGCTTTCCTGCCCCAGCCTTCCAAGTTTAACTAGTGGTCACCTCCTTGACACTGTTTCTCATGGGCCAGGTTAAGGCCCTGTCTCTGTGTTGCCTAATGTTCTGGACTTATTCCATTGAGGCTTTCCCACAGCACATGGCACTCTGTCTCTTGTCTCTCCTCTAAACTAGGCACAGAGGGTCTTGAAGGCAAAGATGCGATTTCTGTTACTTTAGCTCAACTACCCATTCAATGCATGAGAACAGCCGATACACAACATTTCATCTGAATGCAAATGTGAAAGAAGGAAGGGAGTGAAAAGCAAGTTGCTTTATTTTTTTCTAAGAAAGAGGGAAATTATTGTGAAAATAAGAATTTTATTTTCATCTTATTTTCTGATGCTGCTTAAGAATTATGAAACTGACAGTAATGATAGCTTCCTTGTTGTCTAGTGACAATTAGCTTAATTTCTTGAATTCACTTATATCATTTCAAATTCCTTCTGGATAATATTTTGCAGTTTCTTTATTTGGACAAGTTTCTTCTTTCACTCCACACAATGACTAGACAACTTTAATTAATAGTTTCCTATAGCTGGGCTAAAATGTATCTATTCTGGAACAGGTAGAATAGTGTATACATAAATGGAAAAAAATGTACTAAATTCCATGCTTAATTATTTTGCTTTCATCTGTACCTATAATGTTGCTGTAAACATTGCTTTTTTAAAGTAACATCATCCTGCCGAAACCGGTTTGGCTCAGTGGATAGAGCGTCGGTCTGTGGACTGAAAGGTCCCAGGTTCGATTCCAGTCAGGGGCATGTACGTTGGTTGTGGGCACATCTTCAGTAGGGGGTGTGCAAGAAGCAGCTGATCGATGTTTCTCTCTCATCGACGTTTCTAGCTCTCTGTCTCTCTCCCTTCCTCTCTGTAA